ATGCAAAATAAATTGCCTATGCCATTTCGAACCGACGAACGCGCTAAACGAGGGTTATGTAAGTATCAGAATTTGGGTGACAAAGACTCGAACAAAGACTCGAAAACGGACTGACAACATTTAAGGGAATAAAGGTGCGACCGTGGAAAAATTACCACATGTGACATGCATCAAAAATCATGCAGAATCAAAAAATGTCAGCCTCAAGTCAGAGGTCGACGCTGACAAATTTTCGGCGGCGGCGGCGCCAGTTTTTGGTTATTTTTCGGCGGCGTCGGCGGCGCGGCGCGGCGTCGCAATGTTGAAGGAATAGGAAATCAAATTGTCGGCGGCGGCGGCGCGTAAAATGCATCGGCGTATGGCGGCGCGGCGGCGTGAGATCGGCGGCGTCGACCTCTGCCTCAAGTACAGCATTTTACGAAATTATCCACGTCCGTGCCTGATGCGGCCGTAAAGTCAAAGATTAATTCAAACTATTTGTATCATATTAAGGCCAATAAAGTGTTAGTCAAAGGGTACATATGTAAGCACAGAAATCTGTAACACATTCAGAAGGTCGAGAAAAAACTGGTAAAGGCAAGATCTCATAAGCCGTACAACAAATTCCCCCAACAAAGTTGATCACTGGCGACCAGACCAACGTGTCCTTAGCCTCTTTAGCCTACATACAAATTATGTCATTGCTTTTATAATTTTGTCATACAATGTAGATATGCAAGATACACACACTACTACATCGTGGTCAGAAATTATCTGACCAGGTGAGGTATAGTCTCAAACAATCGTTGTTTTCACATGAAAAACATGTCCTCCAGACGATTTTGAATGTTTTCTGACAGATTTTCCAAAACAGTTTTCGGAATTTTTTCCAAGCGTTTTTAAAATGTTAGATCTTGGAAACAGTATCACGTGGAACTATTTCGTAGACCGCCTTAAATTTAAGCTAGGGCCATAAATTTTTAATTTGGTTCATGTCCGGGGTGCTCCGAGCCACACCCCCTTTGCTAAGGTGGTAAATAACCAACACTCGAAAGCAAGTAGTAATTTTTGAAGTGTGGGCTGGTACTTCATCCGGTTAATATGGAATTTCTTTCGAATTTAGAAAAAGTTGCTTAGTCTCCATAGTATCGAAGTACATGGGCAAGATATTGCAACGGTAAAACGTTACGTCTAAATTCAGACAACCAAAAGTGACGCCCAGTTCCGTCGCGCCTCGAAACCAGAGCCAAATACAATCCATTAATGGTAGTCACTTTTTTCTAATACAAAAAAGTTTCAGCACATTTTGTGAGCGGATTTGGAGATTTTTTAGGTGCTCAGATAATTTTTGGCCACATATTCTATTGCCTAAAACATGCATAATTCATAACACTGTTCTGATCATACGACGATAAGATCAAGATAATATCTTGAATCTTGTCAGACATTATGTAGTCGAGGTAAGGGGAAAAATTTATAACACCAAATTTGCAATAATTTAACCCGGGCTTACACATGTACAATATTGTGAATGCTATTTGGGAATTATGTACGGGAACGTAAATGTATTGAAAATCCAGGGCCATTCTTATCAAATTAAGTATGTATGTATGTATGTATATCACATGTTAATCATGAAAACAAAAGTTACAGTGAAAAGAAGAAAAAGTTCAGAATAACTCATTTATCACAAATTTTTTAATTAACAAAATAACTATCCCACAAATTTGCATATCATATCAGTAAACATTTTAAAGTCGAAGTCATGTAAAGTGACAACTTAAGTCGCAATGTTTCAATCAATGGATATTGGATTTTTGGGTTCGAATGAAATCGCCCCAAAAGCTTCCACGCCCGCACTTCACAAATTGTGAGGCAGATTTCACCAACTCGTCCTCCGCACTACAGGCAAGTCTCGTGCCTAATAATATTTCTAAAGCTAAAGCTAAATTCTGTACCAGTAAAAATTAGATTATATATAGTAAGATAATGGAGGACGACGACGGAAGTGTAGTTATCGACGATGACGATGCAGACAATTCACAAGGACCTGCCCCCCAAGGGTTCGATCCGCCAAAGCTGAACCAAGGTAAAAGTTGGGTTTGGAAGCATTTTTCGGACAAGGAGGTTAAAAAGAACGGACAAACTTTCGTAGGAAAGGCATGCAACTACTGTAGTGTTGTGTAAGATAACTAACTTTTAATTTGTTAAGTTTCTTGAGTACTCACAGTGCACGTTTTTGTAGATATGACCTCCGTAAATCTATGGGCAGTACTAAAACCCTTCAAACTCATATTCGAAATAAGCATCCTTCCAAAGAAACTACTATGACGAGCGGTACATCTATAAGCAGCTATTTTAAACCTGAAAATCCACAAAAGGTAAACTACACATTGCTACCTCTTAAGGTCCGTCCATAAAATAAATAACGCGAAAACTGCAAATTTCCAGACCCACCCTCCCCCTTTAACATGCGTAAAATAGGAACGATACCATTGGAGGCTTTGACCCCCCTTCCCCCCCCGCTCTTGCGTTACGTAATTTATGAACGGCCCCTTAAAATAAATGTTAAAATTATGGTTCTAAATCTTACAGTTTGACGAGGAGCAAATGAAGAGTGCATTAGTGGATTGGATTATATCTAGTGACCAGCCTTTTTCTGAAGTCGAGAATGAAGAGTTTCGAAAATTTGTTACATCCCTTAATCCGATGGCACAAATACCTACGCGAAAGACTCTCAAAAAGTGGATATTGGAGCTCTATTTAGATAAGAAAGATAAATTGATTAATCTGATTCAGGTAGTACCTTTTTCGAAATATTGAAACATACCAATGATAATCCAAACGTGGAACTTCTAGGGTATGGAGTCTAAAATATCAATAACTCTGGATTCGTGGACATCACCTTCACAAATGGCCTTCATGTGTATCACGGCTCATTATATTTCTCAAGACTGGAAACAAATTCAATTGGTGTTAGATTTCGTGAGTTTAGATGGCCCGCATACTGGAGAGAATCTTGCTGATGCTTTACTTAATACGTTGAAGAAGTATCACATTAGTGAGAACAAGGCGAGTTACAAAATTAGTTTTTCTCAAATAATTTCGTGTCATCTCGCAAAATTACTTGAGTATGTAATTAATTGCTAATTACTTATTTCCAATTGACGAGAGCAAATAATTAAGTACTCAAGTAATAAATAAAGCGGCTGGATAATTGACCGCAATTACAATTACTTAATTGAAAATTAATACTGACTTAAATTCCAATTAATTACTTGATAACAAATTAATTACATGTCCTTGCATAATACTGCAATGAAAGATTTTATTTGATTAATATTCCAAAAAATTAAATTAGCAAAAAATGAATAATGACACATTTGAGGGTACAATTACATTATCGCAAAGAAATTTTAATTAACTAGCATTGATTTTTCACGTTTTCTTGTAGTCAATTAGATACATTTGTTATTAATTACAACGACACTGTCATTAAAAGCTAGCTTGTGTACGATAGAAGCTTTTTGATTTAAAAATCTTACTGTGTTCTAGATTCTGGCGCTTGTCACCGACAACGCGAGTAATAATAATACATTGTGCCGAGCATTTGCGGAGTCCAACAAAAAATTCTGTCCCAAAGATCACCACACAAGATGTATAGCTCATATAATTCATATTGCGGTTACGGCCTTTATCAATGGGCTCAAGGCACCTCCATTGGACTCCGAGGAAACCGATTTTCAACCGATCGGAGCTGTCAATAAGGTCAATAATACGGAAAAAATTGTAGTATGTAGTAAAAACTAATTACGATTATTTAAATTTTAGCTTCGTAAACTGGTAGTCAAGATACGAGTCTCGCCCCAAAGGCGTCAAAAGTTTCTCACTGCCTGTAAAACTTCCAATTTGAAGGAAATTGCTCTGATACTAGATTGTAAAACTCGATGGAACTCCACATATGAAATGATTATGCGTGCAATTCAATTAAAACCTGCCGTTGAGATTCATGGGAGCCAGAACTAAGGTCCCTCGCTCTGGATGAACATGAATGGGCAACATTGGAAAGCACGTCCAAGTTTTTGGAGGTATTTTTTTGCACATGAATTTAATATTATATGGTGCATGCCAAAAGTAAAGTGAAGATGGAAAAATGACCGTCATTTTATTATAGTTCCATTTATTTCAAAGAATCTGAATTTTTACAAATGCTCATAGGTTGTATGTTAGTTTTACCCTTTAGACAATTTATTATGCCATTGTAATTTGTGGAGATTAAGGCTCCCAAGTTTTGTCCAGTCCTGAATTTTCCTGAATTTGCTGCATTGTCCGTTCGCAAATTCATCGTTTTCGGCTCGTGCTGAAACAATTTTTTAAATGAAATACATACACTGTAAGTTTTTTAGAACTATATGAAATTACCTGTAAGATGAATTATCGATGACTATTTTTTCCTGCCTTCGCCCTTAAAACCCAAAACGGGAGCGATCAGTACTTTACAAGGTCATACATAGATGATCATATTTGCACAGCTAGAAAAACTGTAGGGTTTTTGTAGTTCGGTAATTTTGTTCTCGAAACGTAGCTGCTTAGTACGCATTCGTGGCAACGGCGATATAGGATGGCTAACCAAAGGTCTGAAGAACACATAATAGACAAAACAAATTCATCAACGCCGATGTCAGTTTCAGCGTCAATTTTTCTAACTGTGCAAATACGATGTACTTTGGCATGCACCATAATTAAAGTTTCAGGGAATTCAACGCCGTGAGTTTACTTTTCGTTGTTTTAGATTTTCGAAAATGCCTCTACTTATCTCTGTGGCGATAAGTATCCAACTATACAGTATGTAATCCCAGTCTACAACTATCTGCTAGAAAACATTGCAGAGTTCAACAAGTCGACCAACCAAGCTGCTGAATTTCAGTCCGCCGTCATGTCATGATAAAATCGCCCAGTACTACAACCTAACAGGACAGAGTACTCCTCTTAACGAAATATATGGATGTGCAATTATTTTGGACCCTACTCTGAAAGGATCCTTCTTTAAAGATAAGAATTGGACACAAGGTAGCATAGATGCGGTACAGGAGAAGACACAGCAGGTCTTTACAAATTATGCCATCAGCCCCGTAGAAATGTCTCCTGAAAAGGTACCTACACAAGAATGCAGCACTTCCTTAGTAGCCCAGCTTTACAAAAAACGCAAACTAGATGAGCGAAGCGAATTTGACCGCTATATGGCTCTTCCTGTGATTGCACATGAAAATAATGGCGTGCCGTGCAATCGACTAGAATGGTGGAAGGTATGTAGATACATTCAGAGCATTATAACTTATAAGTTATAAATATTTTGGTCATTATTTAGTTATGCATAATTCATATTTTCATTACAGGCCAATGAATCTCAATTCCCAGGACTGGCCAAAATGTCTCGTGACTATTTAGCAACACCAGCGACCAGTGCCCCTTCCGAGCGTGCATTTTCCAGCGCCAAACTTTTGATTGGAATCGATATAAACTTTCCTCTGGAACAATTAGTGAATGCATGTGCTTAAAATCATGGGCAAAGTCAAAAATTCTTGACTAACAACCTTAATTATTTACTAGGATAAAATTTTCCTTGTCTTTGTTATTTTAATAACAAAAAATTATAAAAATTAAAAATAAAGTACCATTGTTGACAAATGCATATTGAGTAGCGTTAAGGTCACCCTTTCAGTAGAAACAGTGATATTTGTGGTGAAAAATATTCAACCGGAAACTATGCAGGGACATATAAATATGTACGCACACGGTTATGCAACCAGACAAATATGTAAAGACAAATATGCAACAAATATACAGGATTTAGTAGATTCTATAAGTGTACAATTATTCAATCATATTTTCAAGACGGCAAATTCAGATAATGACAAAAAATCATGACAAATTAGGAATCTGGTTTCAGCTGAGGGAAATCGGAAATGATTGACTAGTGTGCAGTAGTGGGGGTTATACAAGTGGGACAGTGATGTTATGTGCCAAAATTTCAAAATTGTAGTTGAAAGATGAAATTTAGAAATTTCTCGCAAGTTGCAAGCAACTATTTAGGAAAACGAGGGAAACTTCCGAGGTTCCCGTCGGGTCCAGGATATCCATTATGTTTCATTCATGGTATCGGCAAAATTCATATTTGGCGCCATGGCGTGGCGGCATATTCGACAAATTTAATTGTTTTCAATTTTAAAACCGACAAAACTTTTGATATCCTTGACAGATTTGCAAAACTTTTGACTAAGATCATGGCAAATAGCCCAACTTCCACCGTGAAATTTTTCAAAAAATTTATTGTGTAAATTTTTTTTGAAAACTTTCACATTTTCTTAATCATGAGGATGCGTCGAACAAATCATACAAATATTTCAAAAATTTAAAATTTGTAGCTGTTTATTTTTTTCTTAAAATTTTAACTTTTGGGGTTATCTTAAGCGAAAGTTTGGAAAATCCCGCGGAAACTGAATTTATGGAGGTTTGAAATTGGTCTAGAATTCAGATTTTTAGCTTTGCATCATGCCATGACGCGGATGAGTTTTGCACGAAAATATGGATGGACCCTGGACACGATCTCACCTCGGCAGTTTACTTTGTAAGTAGGATGAGTCACATTTCGAAAAATATAAGCTACGCTATAAGAACTCTGGTTATGAACCGTTGATATATCAGGTACAATGACTCAAATCGAGGTGCAAACTAATAATATGAAGTTAAAGTTAAAAATTTTGTCAGCAGATGGGGTAAATTATTTATTGTTCAATAAATGAATATATAGAAAGGTTCAGATTGTATTCCAAGGTTTTTTGACATAATTATCTTTTTGTACCAGAATTGCCGCTTTGAAAATATGATTCAATAATAATACACATCCTATTTGTTGCATATTTGTCGGGTTGTATAAATTTAGTGCGCATATATAATTCTTGGATAATTTAGGCTGTATATACATATATGTATACATAGGTATGTATGTAAATATGTTGGCATCACCCTTTGAGTATTTAGACTACATGATTGTACATTTGTAATTATGTATCGCAATCATATACAAACATAAGACTAATCCGATCCGATCCGAAATCCGTCGGATTGATCCTAGTCGGATCGGATTGGTTGGTTAATCCGTCTCGGATCAATCCGAGACCCTGCATAATCCGAATCGGTTTGATCCGAAGACCTCAAAATCCGATCCGATCCGATCCGAACCCATTCCTACCCGTAACCAAGTAAACTTACAAAAATCAGCTTACGAACTAAACACGTGCCCTTCTGCTTCTTGAGGTATTGTAAGGTCGTAAGTTGTAAAACAGTACTCTAGTCAGATATGGTTTACCAGTTTTCTTGTGTATTTATTCAAGCAGCACTCTTAGAAATAATTTTACCCTTTTGAAAAGTAGTCGAGATTTCAATTCTAAATTATGTAAAGTGTACTAAATCCTGAGTAAGCTTTATTCTTCATCAAGTTAACCTTACTCTGAATTTATTATAGTTTACTTAACTCAGAATTGAAAGCTATTCCTTTTCAAAAGGGTAAAATTATTTCTAAGAGTGCTGCTTGAATAAATACACCTTATCTATCTAGGTTAACACAAATTGTTTAAAAGATTATGTAAATGTATGCATAAGCTTGATTGTCATTTCAGCACACATCGCGACGGCGTCCTTTCCGTGGCTCTGATGTATATCAAATTTTTGGAGCAGTACCAGTACAAAGTGACAAAGTCGAATATTAACGTCATAGGGACCGACACAAGATGGACGTTTATTTTACAGAAATAGGTCACTAGCTTCATAGATTCATATTGTCGCCGAAACTTGAATATTTTGTATACTTAATCTATGCATTTTTAATTGATTCATGATATTTTAATAATGGTATATGTATGCAACCTTGAAATTTGTGTGAGTGACCGGAAAGCGTCACTTGTGTCTATGAAAGGACCAGCAAAGGCCCACAAAGACAGAGAAGAGATACCCATAGTCCTCGTCTGTTAAACTCATGAAATTTGTAACTAAAACTAATTGGCATGTTCTCAAATAAAATTGTAATTTCTTGTTGCTGTAATTCCACTTGTAGCGTCCTGAATAATTGCCAGCCAGCCCTATTTGGCGAAGGAAGGAAGCGTGAAGGTGAGGTGCTGGAGAAGGAAGGGCTGGTGAAGGAAAAGTCAGCATAACAAGATCATGCTAAAAGATCACCATGGTTACGGCGAAGCCTAAGTATGCATTCAGCTGCAACTTTTAAAAGGTCGCACTGAGATTTCGCCCATACCCTTCGTTACATGGAAAACATGTTGAAACAAAAAAATCAGAATTCTGTTTTACAGACACGTTTTTTTATTTTTTCAAAAATTCTAATTCCTTCAGGTAGAAAGTCCGATGCCTAAAATTCCAAATCCATTTATTGGCATCAAGGAAGTGTTTCCGACCAGGGGCTTGCCATTTATATTATTCTCCAGGATAATAAGCAAATTGTAAGCCTTCATTCTACTTGATCGGATGAAAACTCACGGAATTAGAGCTTTTTGAAATATTTCCATTAAGCAAACTATTTACATATGTACGTATGTATATTTACGTGTTAGGTTACTGGTTGCTAACGTGTGCTAATAGTGCAAAGTTTATTTAGCATTACGAGAACATAACAATCCTAAAAATCCTGCAACACTCGGGATTGATCAAACTCTATGAAATATAAATATAACGCATCCGCACCCAGTGGGGGATTAATTTTGATACCACAAATTCATACCCACTGGGGAATTAAATTGGTATACCGCGCATCCATCCACAGGAGAATTAAGAACGTTTAAGATTTTATAATTGCATAGGATTTTATGATTTTATAACTTACATAATGAACTTAGCACCTGTAAGCTAATGTGTTCTACTAATTGAGATCGGTAAAAATCCCTTAAGTATACGGGTGAAGACTAAACGCAGTTCTTTGTAAGTAGATAATTTACATAGCGTTTCCAAAATCTACTTTTATTTGTAAAAAATGTTGCAATTAGTGTAGTATCATTTCTTAATAGATAACTTTTCTCAGTGTAAGTGTCAGTGGATCATTTTGCGGTACGGTGGACCATCTTGCGATCAGTTCCGATTTTTATTGAGCAATTGAAAAATGACGGATTTTTTTGTTTACCAAAATGTTGCTGACAAATTGCAACACGTCGGTTTGGCCGATCTGTCATTTTGACACCTTGTGTCACAAAAAATTTCGAAACATGGTTTCTGATAGACAATTGCATGGGCATTTCAATAAAAAATAGTACAACTGGCTAAGATAGCTCCTGTGTACTAATTTTATTGGCGTGAGGTAGACGTTGGTCATTACAATTGGCCCTACTAGGTGTAATGTCTTAAAATTATTCAGAAATGCAACTTACATAAAACATAATACATAAAACTACAATAGTAACAGTATCCTGAGGATTGCCAAATATGTATAAAACTCATATGGCTGTTCATATCACAGTTAGAAAGGAAAGTTATAAAACAATTTTTCGCGTGGAGATAATGAGTGTAATGAAAAATTTAATGAATGGGAGAGCAAAATCCTGGTGGAGTGTATCCGGCCGAATTTCCATGTCTATATTTAACGAATTACGTGAAAGGTAGTTATTAAGGTGTGAAAGCACTTTATAAGATCGTTATGTCTTGGTCCGACAACTTTTGAACGAAAAGACATAGAGCCTTGAAATTTTGATGGGAAATTCCTAATGTCAAACGACAGGGCGAGTTCGAACAGGGACACTGTAGGTCACACTCTTCAAGGTCAAAAGGTTATGAAATGTCATTTAAGGGTCAAATTGCATACATATTTCAATTTGAACTGAATTTTAACCCAGAATTCAATGGTGACCTACATTTTGACTGGTCACAAAAGTAACTTGAAGGTCCCAGAATTATCATAAACAGTTGAATTTGATACATTTTTCAGAATTGTGCAAAACGCATTAGAAATGTCAATATTAACAGATTTTGAACGGATAAACCCAATAATATTGTGTGAACACCATATTATGGTGTTCAGGTTGACGGATAACACACTGATTTCACCTGTTGGTTACATTCGTTGTAACCCGTTATTTTTAATAATTTGATTTTATTATTCCAACTTGGGATATTTCCCTCTACGTGCATAAATTTGTGTAATGTGCTTTCCCCAACATCCCGCCTACGCAAACGTATAGTCAGGTCGCTGTAACACTTTCGGTTCGTTCGGTTTGAATCATTTTTTATTCATAGCCGTATGTAATGTGCGTTGAACAACTCGATTCAATTGTCTTTAGTAACGTAGGTATTTAAAATTTATCTTGAGCGTCATTTTAAATATTATTTCAACCCTTGGTCCAGATTGTGAAGACTTACCTTATGTATTTGTGAACTTTTATTGTAGCGGTAGTGCATAGGCATGTGTACATACATATATTTCAAAAATACAAAAAAAAACTCAATAAACTTATTTCCACAGAAACGTGTGTGTCACTTTGTGTGCTATTATTAAACTATTCAA